GTAAGTCCTTGTTTCAAAGAGTACCGTCTCGACTGGAACATGACATATTATGGCTTAAGGTATTCCATCGTTTTGCTTCCACCGAGAAATGAGCTTAAATACAGCACCCTTTTAAGAGATACAGCGGTGGCCGTACACATGCTAGGCGCAGGACACGAGATTGACTGGGGCAATGTCGAGGTAATTAGAAGAGAATTACAAACAACAAGCTAAACGTTGATTGGTGATGCTCGTGAGATTAAGAAGACTAATCACTGTGTGAACAGAACGGACGGGGTTGAGTTGTCGTATGGGTGACGGGCTGTCTTAAGCCGATCTGACAAAAAAGATGTCTAAAGCAGCTAGTTCCCTTCAACAATTTGAAAAGCACGGAAAGAAGACGAAAGCTGATAGATGCATGCATTTCATATTGTCTCCTCAGTACCATTAACATTGACCCATATGCATAGATATAGCTAACAGTGGGTGCAAACAGACAAGCTTAAGGTGCAAAACAAATGAGGGAATTCCACCCCTACGTCCAAGGCATATTTAGGCTGACAAAGAATTGTTTCTGAACACACGGGGCTGACTCAATCCGGCTTATAGCGACAGCATCAGCAAACTGAAGGAAGCGGGGATTAGTGTGACGTAACATAACTATAAACGCTGACCCCAGCTCTTTCTGGTGACTCGAGTCTACTAGGTGTTTGCCTATCGAGGAAGCCGACGGTCTGCGTGAACATGGAATCCCATGAGGGTAGGCAATCTGAGCAAATTCACGTTGAACCCATCTTGGTACATGTTCCTTTATTCGGGAAGTCAGCGTTCTATGAGATCTGCCTACGTAACTTTTTCCGCAGTCACATACAAATTGGTATACACCTTGTGAGTTGGCCCCAATAGGCTGAGCTTCCTTCGTTGGAGGTATGGGCAAATTTCGCGTACGGTTAATGACGACAAATTGTGCAGCAAAGTCACTTCCTTGTGTAGCCGAAATTATACGCTTAGTTGTCTTCAGGGTGGATAAGTCACCTTTGAAAGGTAACTCGATATACACTTTCTTCTTGGCTGCCGTGTGCACCAAGTCCATTGTCCCTCGCGGTTGGCTGTGTTTCTCGATAAACCTTCGAGGGTAGCCGTTCGCCATTAGTGTTGCTGTAATTAAAGATATCGGCGGACGAACTGAAGTGGGAGCGTGGAACAGCGGCTGTGAGAACAGGACTGCAGCACATGTGGGCGACCAGAAACGCTCGATGCCTGATTTTACACTAGCTTGACCATTTGACCTATTGACATGTACCTCTATTATGGAGTGATTCGTGTCTCTTTTGCAAGCTTCATATTTCTTTCCTATAATAGTTGCGAAGCCATTTGTTATCCGATTCATCTTATCCGGTGAATCGCTTGCTTCAAGACTGAAATTGTGCCCTGATATGCACATACAGAAACCGATTTGTATTCAACGCTTTTTGGAATAACTAAATGACAGTCTGTTCGAATCATATTTCGAAATCCTGCACATAATTGCTTGTGAAGTTGAGTCGCACCCAGGTAGCTTTCCGTCCAAAAACCGTGCGATAAGATGCTTTTCTTGGTCACGAATATCATCTCGCAGTTCGACATTTGTGAGGTGCTGCAACGCTTGCTACTTAACTGTGTAAATGTTTTCTGCTGGTGAAAGTTTGATCCAGCCTCTTGCTTACCCAATGAAGCTGTGGGCTGATATGAACGTTGATGGTATGCGCTGTTTTCTACCGCTCCTACAAATAAGAAAAAGCTACTTTCAGCCACCTTTATTGCACTAAGTGACCAAATGTTCATATGTGCAACCATTTGACTACTTCGGTTATGTGGTGGTAGCTTAAACACTTATGAGCTCGTTCAGGGCTAACATGGGAAACAGTCGCTGACAATGGATAAAATTTTGTATCCACTAATCCATGACATAAAGCATTATAGAACTACACCTTACAATCCTGCAGCCAATGGCATTGTCGAGCGGATAAAATGATCCATAAACAATGCCATACAGGCCATGCAATAGGGTTGGTCGGATTGGGAAGCTGCTGTCTTAATTGCTGTATTTACTTACAGGACTTGTGATCACAGGGCTACCGGAAGAACGCCGGCGACGCTGATATTAGGAAGGTCAATTTGCATCAAACTAAATGTTGCACAGAAATTGTCCTCTGCGGGACATGCAGAAGTTCCAATCACTTAGCACATTACCAGCATTGCTACACTAGGTTGTCAATTCCTATACAGCCTGGTGTACACGTTTGCGTTAAATACGGGTTACGTCTATAGCCGTTACGGCTCTATCCGCACAGTTGCGAATAACCCTGCGACTAGGTCCAGGGACCCATCGATTGAAAAACAGCCTAAGTGCAAAAGCAAGTCGGTTACACACAGTCCATCGACCAGATACCCAGTCTCAAACTATGTGTGAAAACCAGGCTGAAGCGCCGCTACCGCGAACTCAGCCTCGTGGTCCTACTAGACTTTCGAATCATGTAGATCGATAGGAGCCCGCGTGACGCGGCTCTTTCTTGGCTGGCGGAAAACCAGAAACTTTTCTCATTTGCTGTGTAAAATCCGGACAGTTAATGTTGATTATTTTGTGTGTCAAGTCTGTTTTCCTCTGGATCATGCACCGATACACCTCCTGCTTTTTGTTGTCTTCTTGCTAAAACACCGCCCATTAAGCTATACTTCCTGTTGTAAAGCTGCCTTCCTACTGCTGCACTGCTGCTATTCTGCGTCTGCGAGACTACGACCTCCTGACTGCTCAGTCACGCGCCAAACCAACCGACGGGATACAGAAAGCCAAGGCTCGGTAAACAGGGAGTCCATACTACACGACAGGTCAGTTCTATTTATTGGTGAACGAAACATACTAATTTTGGAGGCGTTTGGCTCTCAGCCAATGGGAGTTAATTCCGTCCCACGGATTGTCTATATTTGGCAGAATAGTTGGCCTCCGTTGACTCGGGCTTGTATTTGCTGGCCAATCAGTTTGCACCCGATTCCCAACTATGTCAAAACAGCCTACGTAATTCCATGCAATCGTGCAAACTATGTACTACCAAAATAGATTAGCAAGCAATCGCTTAGAAATACTACCTTGGTTACTAAACTATTAATATGAATCAATATCAGAAATCAGTTCCGGGTGAAGAATTCTTTTCGGTAACTCACATCGGACCCAAACATTTACAAATCACGGATACTGTGGGCAAGCGTCAACTCGGGCTGGGATTTACTTCTGGACTGTTTGAATGATCAAAATCGATAACTTGAGACATAGATAGCGATGGTAAACCAAGTAAACTAAATACACATACATACGCAAAGCTCAATAGTCCAAAGTAATTAAGTAAGTAAAAGAACAACCAAATAACTAAGTAACAGTGTCCGTTGGCCAAGGTAGTAGTAGCGGCCGTATGAATCGTTTTTGTATTCATAATTCCGGCTTCAGCTGGCGAATGTAGATAGCGTCGGGGATGGATAAGAGCTGTTCGCGAAATCCTTGGGTGTAGTGTTCAGGTAGTGAATAAATGACTTTGAAGTCATTCTCTGAAGCTGTGTGGCCACATTCAAGGAGGTGCGACATGATTGAGCTGTTTGAAGACCTCATTTCGCCTATGTAAAACCATGCCGGGATGTGTTTACGAATCCTCTGAGATAGGCGTCTTGTCGTGCGACCCACATATCGTGCACCACAGGAGCACGAGTACTGATGAACGATCACTGAACGGGTCAACGACGGTAGTCTATCCTTCAAGGGTTTTGTAAGCAACGGCTTGTTGTGAAATACGACTCTCAGCCGGGCCGCGAAATAAGTTTTCTCGACAGCGACTTTCAGGCGTCTGGATAACATATCAGCTGCAGAATCGCCTTCCGGACGCGCAGTATTTGTACACCGGATACCGTCAACGAAGAACTACAGAGAATCAGCGACTTCCTTAGGGGAAATGGCTATCCTGATAAATTTATCATGAAACATTTGAAGGAACGTAATCGAAAGCCACCTAGGAGCATTGCTGCTAAGAAAGAGCTTTACATACTAATACCCTTTAAGGGCGATTCTGCAACTGATATGTTATCCAGACGCCTGCAAGACGCTGTCGAGAAAACTTATTTCGCGGCCCGGCTGAGAGTCGTTTTTCACAACAAGCCGTTGCTTACAAAACCCTTGAAGGATAGACTACCGTCGTTGACCCGTTCAGTGATCGTTCATCAGTACTCGTGCTCCTGTGGTGCACGATATGTGGGTCGCACGACAAGACGCCTATCTCAGAGGATTCGTAAACACATCCCGGCATGGTTTTACAAAGGCGAAATGAGGTCTTCAAACAGCTCAATCATGTCGCACCTCCTTGAATGTGGCCACACAGCTTCAGAGAATGACTTCAAAGTCATTTATTCACTACCTGAACACTACACCCAAGGATTTCGCGAACAGCTCTTATCCATCCCCGACGCTATCTACATTCGCCAGCTGAAGCCGGAATTATGTATACAAAAACGATTCATACGGCCGCTACTACTACCTTGGCCAACGGACACTGTTACTTAGTTATTTGGCTGTTCTTTTACCTACTTAATTACTTTGGACTATTGAGCTTTGCGCATGTATGTGTATTTAGTTTACTTGGTTTACCATCGCTATCTATGTCTCAAGTTATCGATTTTGATCATTCAAACAGTCCAGAAGTAAATCCCAGCCCGAGTTGACGCTTGCCCACAGTATCCGTGATTTGTAAATGTTTGGGTCCGATGTGAGTTACCGAAAAGAATTCTTCACCCGGAACTGATTTCTGATATTGATTCATATTAATGGAATGGGAATATTTGCTTTTCTGAAGACCAGCATAGGCCGTGATTCATTGAAACTCTTGAATGAGTATCTGCAGTTCAATACCAAACTATTCCTTATCTGTGGACTGAATGTATAGCGACCAAGCATTGGGGCATGAACGTCAGCATGCGCTTGCATGGCTAGCTTGGTTCTAGCTATGTGGCGTCTAATTAAAATTGTTAACGTTTTGGTCGCTAAACGAAACCGATGGGTAATTTACCTAACCAATGCATGCTGTGCAAATTGGGCAGCTAAATATTAGTGGAGCGGCCATTCCCGTTGTACCTTCATATGGCAACCAAGAGTGGTTGGGTAGCAAGAAACCGCGATATTATGTTATGCGAATGAGGTCAGCACGGCGAAATCAACAGCCAACATGGTTAATTGGTGCTAGCCAGAAAGCCGGAAAAGGTAGGTATCGAAAAAAAATGTGGAGGATTGAGACAACACAAGAGAAGCAGTGCCACCAAGAGCCGTTGATTTCCAATGAATGTCGAGATTTTCCTTACAAATGTTTACTTTGTTGTACAGGAACCTATGTCCTCTACTTAGATTTTGGAAAAGCTTTCAACCTTACGCATCATCGTATGTTGTTCGGCAAGCTTTGGCAATTCAAGTCTCCTGATCTAGCTTTGTTTTGGTTTGCTAACGGGATTAACGAATCTCAATAGTATAAGTTAGAGTCCCCGCGTGCTACTCGGATGCGATTCGATTCGATTGCCACATAACGCACGGTTCGGTAGTTGGGCCTCAGTTGCTTCTAGCCTTTAGCAAGAGATGTCGTTTTCACTTTTCTACCATTTTTTGATGAAGTAGGGAAGTGGCGAGAGACCAATGTACTGGACCACCGAGGGGTCCACCAAGGCGACATTGGTGCGGTTTCGAATGGGTCGGCGTTAAAAGCGTAAACAAGCGTCCAGTTGTTCATATAAGGCAGAGATGACTACCACTACAGGCTTAGGAGGCAAAAATCTCGCTTGTCTACATGTGCATCTATGCGGTTCTGTGGAATCAAGCTATTCGGCTGGTGGCAAAACGTTTCGAGGACTTTTGTTGCCCTTTAACTCGCTGATTATTTGGGAAGAGAAACACCAGCGGAACTGCATTTTCCGCATAGACTCATGGAGTAGCGAAGAAATGAGCGTCCGAAAACAGAGTGTAAATCAGAGCAGCTACGCATACCGGATCGGAACGAATGTACTACAACAATCATCTCTCGAACGTGACTAGGGTGTCCTGATTCAAGATGACTTAGGTAGCTCCAGGCAATCCGAAAAGTCCTCGAACACTGGGAAGCAACACTTCGGGCTGTTGCGACGGGCATTTGGACAAATAAATAACGCAATATTTCGAAAATCGCTCATTGTGTATGTTCGCTCCCATGTCCAATACGCAATGCAAGCCTGGCATCCATGGCTGAAACACGACCTTAATGCACTGGAGCAACCACAACGTAGGGAATCTAAGAACGTGATTGGAATGTGCTATCTTTCCTACCAGAAGAGGCTGCAACGATTGAGGGTGTTCAGTGGAAGCTATCGCAGACTACGAGGCGACCTGATTAGGGCATCCTTGATTCTGCGAGACCCACATCGTGTGTTCCTCTCTTTACTGCGACTCAGCACTAATACAGTCCTGAGGGGCCGCTCATTGAAATTCGCTGTACAGTATAACAGCCCGAATTGCCGCAGAAAATTATTTTCGTTCTTGTCTGTCACCCGTGGAATGCTCTGCCAGAACCGGTCGTCTCTGCACCGACACTAACGGTATTTAAAAGACGGTTAGACGATGCACTCATTCACTTACACTTTGGCACTTAACATTGCGTCTCCATCCTACACCTGGAGTTTACCATGGAATTATTTGTTGTTAACTATGGGTGCTGTGAATCTAAGAGGATCGCAGAACGACAGCGGAACAAACGATAAGTCTTTGTTTTCATATTTAATGTACACGCTTTTACTATCCTTATCATCGTTACTGTTATGTCGATATCCCCACCATGTATCCAACGTGCTTTGTAAAGCAACGTTTCTTTACCCGTATACATTCATTGTTCATTCTTCATTCATTGTTCAAGCATCGGGGCCCTGCTGTAGGGTACAACTGGTACAGAATGGAGGACATTTCGCAAGCGGATAAACCATAAATTGATTGCAGTACGTAATCACAATGACGAAACGAATTTACTTGGCAGTGTGAGCAGCTAAATTGTCTTAGACGATCGGAGCAGATGAGTGTAAATCAGTGAAGTTTCCCCTCTATACTGATTGGTTTATATTTGGCTGGGCTTGGATGTGTTTGACCGAAGCGAGGGAAGAACCTCATGTATACTGAAGCGTCGTTGGCCCTGGAAGCGGTTTAGTTACATACATCGAAATATTCTACAGGCTAGTTGTGCTGTCATTTTCGCTGAGCTTGCATTGTTGAATAGACGTTTCGCCATGAAAGAACGAGTTTTCTGACACAAAAGACACCTATGGTAGAGCGGCTAGGATCGTCGTATTACCGAAAAAGGGGTTTAGGTATCAAATGTGGGGTTTGATAGTTGTTTCAGAGTGTTCTCTGATGTTGCATTGAATGTTTATATCGGCATGGGTTGACCAATTGCAAATATGAATACTGAAAGCTTAAGAGATGAATTTGGACAATAGGAATTTGGGATCAATACGAATATAAAGTATGCGTAAATTTGCTTTAAGCATATTATGTGGGTTGCTTTTATCAACGCCATTCAGTGGTATCGAATGTTGGTTGTGGTACTCACATGAGACGGGGTGAAGAGAGGTGCTTACAAAAGTGCAGTGTATGCTTAGACTGCGATAGGGTTAGAAGAACATCGACGATGAGGTAGCAGAATATAAAGAAGAGATCAGGTTGTTTCTTTCCCGTAGTACACACATCCTGTTGACAACACTGAGTATTAGCATAGGCGTGTAGGAGGAAGACAGCAGGCGAAAACGGTGGGTGTAGAGGCCTTCATACTGCAAGATTCACTCTCTGTTGCGCACTGTCTACTGGATTATATGAATCCTTGACCTTATTCGATTGCTTGGCTAATTGTTCTATGATGTCGAAGTAGGTGGATCACGTAATGCATGGGTCAAATTTTGCTTACCCTCTCGCGAATATCATGCTCTTAATTGCAAGCATGACACAACGCACAGAATTACCCCTACAATGCCCGTCGGTTCCTATTGATACATACTTCTGTTTTGCAAGTTAATATACCGTTTCAAAAAGTACTTAACAATCTATAACTATGATTGATTAATTACTATTCGGTTACAATCTGATGCCTCGGTCGCAATTCACCAAGTAGATAATTGTTCAGAGAAATGTCCTAGCCCGGTTCATCCTGGCCCATGAAGAAGGTCTGAAACACGTGAATTTTAACCATCCTGGATGAAATGTTGGCCTCTCAAACTTCGCTGCCTCCGTATGGCACCAAGCTGCATGTCCGCCATATGATTCAGGAAATGTTCGTTTCATCAAAACAACGGATCAGCAAATGTATGAATTGATAAAAGTTATGGATGCCTGTTCTTCACGTTCAGCGTCTTCCAAAACGAAGTATTGCAGCTGGGCAGCAATTCAGGCGGTAACACATTGGAATCTACCATTCTGACTTTAAGTAACCGGGATAGTTATACCTCATATCGTCCACCGCCATGTACTTAGGTGAAACCATCAAAAGGAACGAACTCCACAACTTTGCCCTTTGGATTCACATTAGCTTTGCGTAGTGAGTGGAGCGAATCTACGGTCAATGAGCTCCATAGATACGCTCATTACGAAACATAAAAAGGGTCTGGTTGCGGCTTACGTAAAGATATACACTGATCTCAGCAGAATCCCACCGAATTTGTTGGGGTATCACAGTCTCGTGGTTTACTTCGAGTCCGCTATTCAGTTCACCAGTGCTAGCTAGTGCTATCGTGTCTTCAGTAGGTGCAAATCGATGCCATCAATTTTACTAGACGAATGCATGATGAGGGTGTGGTTGCACGCTTTCAAGCATACCAATGTGGTGTGAATAATTGTTGTCCATCGAAAAACTAAGGACGATACATTTATGCAACAATTATATGTCACAAGTTGATGCCTCCAAAGTTTGATTTGCTAGGCTACTGGGTTACCCTCATCAAAGAAAACTACCACCGTTGCGAATACAATGAGCAAACGTTTACCAAACGTTTTCGTGGTACAAACTTCGCTGATGGTACATTTATTGCGCAGCTAGGTGAGTAAACTGGGCTAGCCTAATTTACTTCCGTGCCGGACTCCACCAGTACCAAAACCCGCCTGTTAATCCCAGTGCGTGCACAAATAAGGAACTAGTTATTCGTGGATGTCTTGTCCGCCGTGGTTATTCAATAGGCTACTTGAAGTTGGTTGGAAACGACTGCGTTCTGGAATCGAAGCGGCTTACAGCGATATAAGGCCACGATGGCAATTGGAGGAAATTCGCAGTGCGATCGGGTATTTGTAAAAGAATCTAACGCTAGGTAAGTATGATGGATTAGGGTTAGGCAGATGGATAGTAGGTGTTTCCCGCCAACAATCACTACACTTCATGTACAGTTTAGAGCTTTATTGATCCCCACCTGATGTGAATCAGAAGCCCACGACATGTTTCGATGGTAAGTAGGATAGAGGTATGAAAACCCACTGGAACGACCTGCTCAACTCTTCCATCTACGGCAGCAAGCATGCCTGCATTGCACACGTGGAACGCACCACACGACTGCTTCTTTACTGAAAGGCACGCAAACTTGTGCCGCTGATGAGGAGGTGATAATAATGAAAGCGACGAGGACATAAGAACCTCAAACGCACACAGCGAAATTCACAAGTCGGTTCGCTCATTTCAGGTGCATCATTTCATCTTATAATCCAAGATTTCCGGTGGTTATCTGAGGCGTAAAAATCAGTAGAGGCACGGTTGTACAAATCGGCCAAATATTCGGCTTTCTATGTGCCTTAGGAAGTTAACTACGGGGGAAGGACTGTCGCACGAACTGATCATGTCTGTAAAAATTGAAAAGCTGAGGATTGAAGATTAGCGTGCAAAACACCGGACAGGATCGCTTTATAAAACGTTCGTGCGAAGCATTCTGCCACATGTGGCCCCAATGCATGCGCACTTGTTGGCTACGCGCGTGAGTGCGTGCTTTTCTTCTTAACGAGTCGTTCTCAATGGCTGTTGGTAAAGAGTCTGCACGTTCGTGCATGACGAAGTTCAACCTATGCCTGCATGTTGCTCGTAGCGTGACTCTCCTAAGGCGTGAAAAACCAAGCCGGGTTTCAATCGAAGTTAGCACGCAGTAAGTCATAAAGCCCCTGCTCGCAGCCTCACAAACGGTCTAGTGGTTTCACGGGTACCCTAGTATCAGGCAGCTGGTCACCTAATCTGCGGTGACTAACCACGCACTGCATGGCGTTGTCGTGCTCGCCGATGACTCATTTCCGGTCTACTTGCCAATAGCCATGCAGGCACATCCCTTGTGGTTGTTAGCTTCCGTAGTTTCTAACCTCACACCACCTCATTTGTGTTCCAATTGCGGCTCTCCGATTGTGCGAACTACCCATCTTGTTTTACAGACGTGTTTTCTCGTTGTTCTTAGGATAAAGTACGCACTGCAAGGCCGTTTCCCTTGGATTCGGGTTGTATTTACTTCTGGTAAGATTGAATCACTGTGGTACCTTCCAAAGTGTCACAGTCTATGTAAACATGACAGGAAGCTGGCAGCAACGTCCAGTTAAGTTCTGAAGATAATTAGTGTATGAGAAGAAAGGTTTCTAGGGTTAGTTGACAATAGAAAGGTAACCCAATTCCGTGGATTACCTAGGTGGCTGCATTGTTCATTCAATTTCATTTGGCTTGAATATGCCTAACATTATGACTTATTGTGAACGTGTCGAGGCTCTAAAACTGCACCCGCTAGGGGTGCGCGGACACAAACTTAATCTGTGCATTCTACATCGGTTATTATTCGGCTAAAGCTTTACAGCTCGGCCATGGGGTGGTATATATTGGGTAAGGGGGAAATATGGGATTATAGGGTATAAATAAAATATATTTGGGGGGGGGGGGGGGGGGGGGGGGGGTGGTTTTTGGTTTTTTTTTTTTTTTGGGGTTTTTGTTTTTTTTGGGGGGGGGTGGGGTTTTTTTTTGTTTGGTGTGGGGGGGTTGGGGGGGGGGGGGGGGGGGGGGGGGGGGGGGGGGGGGGGGGGGGGGGGGGGGGGGGGGGGGGGGGGGGGGGGGGGGGGGGGGGGGGGGGGGGGGGGGGGGGGGGGGGGGGGGGGGGGGGGGGGGGGGGGGGGTGGGGTGGGGGGGGGGGGGGGGGGGGGGGGGGGGTGGTGGGGGGTTGGGTGGGGGGGGGGGGGGGTGTGGGGTGGGGGGGGGGTGGGGGGGGGGGGTGGGGGGGGGTGGGGGTTGGTGGGTTGTGGGGGGTGGGGGGGGTGGGGGTGGGGGTGTGTGGGGGGGGGGTGGTGTGGGGTGGGGGGTGGTGGGGGGGTGGGGGTGGGGGGGGGGGGGGGGTGGGGGTGGGGGGTGGGTGGTGGGTGGAAATAGTGGTAATGGTGGGAAGGTGGGTTAAATTAGGTGGATATGAGATGGGGTGGTGTGGGGGGTGTGGGGTGTGGGGTGTGGGTGTGTGGTGGGGTGGGGGGGTGATGTTGTGGGTGGGTGTGGGGTGTGGGGGTGTTGGTTGGGTGTGTCTGTGTGGGGGGGAATGGGGGGGGGGTTATGGAGGGGGGGGTGGGGGTGTAAATGTGGTGCGGTGTGTTGTGGTGGGGGGTGTTGTGGTGGGGTGTAAGGTTGTAGTGGGGGGTTGGGGTGAAAAGTGTGGCGGTGTTTGGAGAATGAAGATGATTATGTAGGTAATTTAAAATGGGTGGGAAATTAATGGGGGGGGGGGGGTTATTATGTGTATGTAGGAGAAGGATGAGAAATGATTATATAAAAGTAAGGATTGTGTTGTGATTCTGGGGATGGGTAAAAGACTATTTTGATATATAGGCTAAACGACCAGTTAGAGCGTGGAAGTGCGGGTGAAACCCAACGAAGGAACAAACCACATGGGTCGCAGAAGTCAACGATTACTTCTGAATCGGAAGGATAACCAAACCGGGATGGTTGGTGTTACGTGCCTGGGATCCCCAGCAACGTCACGACAAATGGAGACACACAAGGTGTCAGCACACAAGCACTCCATTCTCAATTCTGAGAATGCGTACACTTGGCGCTTTTTTTAATCTCACTCGCTCACCCGATCGACCGCCTGATCGAATGCACTGAGGCAGTCACACCACGGCCACGATAGCTTGGGCCACCTGTTTATCTTCAAATGCGAGCGCGCGTGTGAAACTGGTCTTACACGCCCGCCAGCAACCACCACAACCTCCCTATTTCTCTTTGTTCGTTCTTCCTATGTTGCAGTTTCCGTATCCTCTTCCACCTGGGCGAGCTTGCTGTCACTGTCACTGAATTGGAGCTGCACCGACTGTTGCCCGATTCGGTAGGCAGCGTATTTATTCCCAGAAGCATTTGATAACGATCTTCATCCGTTGCTTTGATTTCTTTAAGTCTGGTTTGTATTTCTCTGAGGATGTCCAACACAGAATTCCCTTTCAGCTGTAGCATGAACTGGTTCCGCTGTTTGTGACAACTCTGTAACTCATTGAGCTGTGCGCAAGATTGTACTTGACACAAGTCTTGACAGTGCTGGAATTCTATAAATCTAGGATATTGCAGCAAAGTAATGCTGATCTTTTTGATTTTCCAAGCTATTTTATTGGCTTTACCCACGGACGCAGCTGTTTTTTGCTTTACGGTGCGGGATACTACTTTTGCTTTAGAAATACTGTGTTATAGGTGTTCTGT